AAGGTTATTTTTAAATCAGATTAATTGGTGTTGTACAGCTCTGCTCTATGTTGAATATATATCCTGTAAGTTTGGGATGTATGTTAGGGATAAGTAGAAGTGCATGGTTCTTCAAGAATTTTTAAATAAATTGAAAACACTACACTTGAAAGTAACTTGTGACCACAGCCCTAACTGAACTGGACACTTTTGACTGTTTTAATTTTATCCATTCATCTTCTCAATTATCTTATCCTTCGGTATTAGTCAGCTTGCCAGTACTGGGACAAAATACTTCAAATACACGATTTAAAGGAGAAGAGGAAGAGCTGGGCATCATGGCACACATCTGTAAACCCAGCACTGAGGCAGGAGGATTGCAAGTTTAAGCCCTGCCTAGGCAATTTAGTAATCCCAGTGCAAAATAAAAATATAAAAAGGGCTGAGGGACACAGCTTAGTGTGAAGGCCTTGGGTTCAGTCCATTGTACCACAAAACAGAATAAATGAAAAATAAAGGAGGAAAGGTTTATTTCATCTCGAGCTTTCAGAGGTCCCATAATGGTCTGGCTCCAGGGCAGAAAGATCATGGCAGAAGGGCCTGACAAAGGAAAGCTGCTTATGTCATGGCAGCCTGGAAGTAGAGAGCAGGGAATGAGCTCAAGGATAAGAGCACAGAGGGCATCCCCAATGCCACTCTCCCATGAGCCACCCTGGTCTACCCATAAGTCTCCTTGGCATCTGCCAAGCCAATCAAATTGTCGGTCTTATTAGCCATTCACTCCCTGTATCCGTCTCCCTGTCTTCATTCTCGCCACATTACCTGGGAAGCCATTTATCCTTCCTGGATCTCTATTTTGTATACATGAGCTCTATGATCTTGGGCAGAGTTCTTAACCTCTCTGGTCTCAGATTGTTTATAGTACCAAGTCAAAAAAGTATTAAATTGGTTAATTTTTATAAGATCTTTACAGCAGTACCTCGTATTTCTAAGCATTGAGTACATTTTAGCTGTTTTTGTTTTTATCGTGGAACCCATCTTTGTCTGCACTGCAGTGCAGTTTTATGAGGCCTTTCACAGCTCTTTCCCCAACAAGGCTGTGCACCTGCTGAGGACAAGGTGAAGCTTGATCATACTGCAGATATGAGCTGGGTCCCCGTAGCCTCCAGGATAGAAAAACAGGCAGTGGAGACGTGCAGAACAAACGAACGAGCCATTTGTTATCCACATACCCAAAGTAGGAATAATGGAGCTTTGTAGGTGTTCTCTTAGAAGAAGATGTAAAAGGTAGTGTCCCTGCGGTGTAACAGGACTTCTCTAGAAGGAAGGACAAATGCTTTGACCAGTATAAGTCAGTATTTAATTGGAGTTTATCTCAGGTACATGGGCCGATCAAAAAATGTGGGTAAAGGTATAGAGAGGTCTCATCTCAATCTGATGAAAGCTGTTTCTGGCAACATCCTATTAGGTGGGGGAACACTGAGGCCTTTCCCTTTAAAATCGGGAAAAAGATAAGACCATCCACCATCACCACTCCTGTTCACCACAGTGCTCAAAACAGCCAGAGCAACAGGCAAGAGAAAGAAATGAAAGGGATATATATAGGAAAGGTTAAGTGCATAGTATCATTATTTGTAGATGGCGTGATCCTATACCTGTAAGACCCTAAAAATTCCACCAAAAAAACTTAAAATTAGTAACAAATGAAGCAATGTAGCAGGATACAAAATAAACACACAAAGCCGGGCGTGGTGGGGCACACCTGTAATCCTAGCACTTGGGAGGCTGAGGCAGGAGGATCACTGTGAGCTCAATACCAGCCTGGGCTACATAGTGAGTTCCAGGTCAGCCTCAACTACATAGTGAGACCCCAACTCAAAAAAAAAAAAAAAACCAAAAAAAAAACAAAAAAATAAATAATTTTCTTCCCCACAAA